TATATAAATTTTTCCTTATATTTCTAATGTTTTTTCATAATTTTGTCTACAGTAAACCCTCATTAACAGGAATTCTAAGGGACTGAAATAATCGGAGTTCTTGTTACAAAAATTCCTGTATCCAAGCATTATATGTCCCTATAACTGTTACCCCTCATCGAGACCGAAGTTTTTTGTTCATGCTACAGTATTTATTTTAAGAGATTGTCGTTTTGTTATCGTTCTTTATGTGTCTAGAAGTAATACAAATTACGAAACTAGTGAGAATATTAAATATTTTGTAAAACATCAGTTTCATTTAGAAAGAATACAGCTGTGTGTTTTTTGCAGCAGCAGCAACAACAACAACAACAACAACAACAACAACAACAATAATAATAATAATAATAATAATAATAATAATAATAATAATAATAATAATAATAATAATTCCCTTTATGACTTCATGATTTATCTTCATTCGAATTCCTGCATAGGCAAAGTCGTCCCGAAGCTATGCAACTATTATGTTGCTAAAATTCTTCTGTTTTGAATATTTGCCATCTCGTTTGAATATATTCGTTCGCCCTGTTGTTTGAATATTTTCACAACTAATAAGGTTAAACCAAGAAATTATGTGAAGAGTGAGATGGCCTTGGTCTCTACATTCTGTACACCATCGTACTTTACTCTAGTTCCCGCTTTCACCCTCCTGCCTTCCATGCCCTCCTGTGCCGTTGTTCCCTTGCCTTCACGTGATGCTACGGATTCGTGACTGCAACTGTTGCTCTTTTTCATTTCCTCTCCTCCGTCTTCTCACATTCCTAACCACCCGTTAGTGCCTTACTTTCTTGGATCGCACGCTTTTATGTGTCGTGTGGTTTGCAAATGTATAATTGTACTTCGCTGAGATGCAGACTTGTTTGAACATGGGTCTTTTAAAAAACATGACTGTTTGCCACATGCTAGTCTCTTCATTTGGAACATTTTATTTCGACAGCTAGCATGACCATACACCTGAGTTTGACGCTTTAACAATACTTTTTTTTAGTTGACCTCATTTTAATATATTTACTTACCTTGATGAAGGCTAGGCTATATTTTGCTGTTTCCCGATAAAATCGTGATATATTTTCGATTTTTTTAAACACACACAAACAAATTCCAGTGCCGAAGGATTGTGACCCTCTTGTGTATTCATGGGCGGGAGAGCATTCGACATACCCGTTCCGCGAGTTAGTCGGCCGTTGTCGCTTGGAGCGTAGCTTCCGCTTACATGGCTTAAGTCATAGCGTTGCGTCTCTGGTAGACCTACTTTCCCCCCAAGCGAGTTCTGAGCGCTAATACTACTTACCCCAAAGATACCGGTAGATCTCTTAACTGATCATTTGAGTAAGTTAAGAAACATGTAAGTTGACAAATTCATAGGGATTATTGTTCCGCTCGTTGTAAAGTAACATTTCCGCTACAACAAATATCCATTAGCATTTTATGGTCAACTGAAGGCTTGCCTCTCTTGGAGACTCTTTGGGTTCAAAGCGTTCTCAATGGTAGTTACAAAAAATACAAAACAGTATTGGAGAATTATTTTAAACGAAGAATATGGAAGAACAAGTTGTAATGAATTCCCCCATTCTTCAAGGTAACAATTACAGAAAAAGCCTAGCCTGACTTTTCACCCAGTAGTAATATTCTAGCTACAATGCTGACGAAAACGGGATAGTAATTCAATTCTAAGACCAGACTCAAAACACTGTAGTGAAATGATGTGAAGGAAAAGAATACTAAACATACATAATAATTAATTCCAATTTAAGAACATATCGAATAATAAAATATCATTCTTATTTACTTAAAAATTTCTACTAGTAACATCCACAACTATTCTCATTATTCACTTTTTTCACACTTACAATCTACAAAGTTTGGTTCTTTTCAAATATCAAAACTATGTGTATTGGGAGTTGGCGAATCAAATATGTTGCTCACAAATATATAAAATAAAATTAGTGGGTGTTGATTTTCAAATATTATCAAGTATTTTTCAAATGATTTAACAATGTTCTTATGAAGCCAAGGAGTTATCAAGGAATTTAGTAATGTACAGGCATAATGTTGCATTATACCAGGCGTCGCCAACGAGGCACCGAAATCCCCGGAGCATCGCTAGGGCCTTGTCCTTCCCTCACCTCCCTCCCCATCCACTTCTCCGTTTCCGGAGACTGACCCGATTTCCGTTGGGATTGGAACAGTGTTCGCTGTGTGTGCACGAAAATAAGCTGAACGACAGTGCATTGAACATTCTGCAAACGTCACCACCAGGAAACTGCGATTCCTCGTTTGACTGGATTACTGATTTCGCATTCATTGTCGAGTAATTAATAAGTTGAGTTAACAAGGCAAGTTAAGTATTCTTTGCTGAACGGCTGAGAGAACTGCTTGAGATAAGCGCGTCACGTTTAACTGACGGTGGCGGAACTCCCCTCTATCAACCTCGACTTCCCAGAACTAACTTGAACCATTGCCCGTGGCCCCATTGTCAATCCGTGTCCCCGGAGCTGCCCTGGACAGCGGATTAGGGCCGTTGTTTGGGGCAGGCCTGCTTTACAGAATCTGAAATAAAAATAATCGCAACTCGACTAACAAACTTGATAGGAACTTTTGATGAAATTTGTTTAGGTTTCTAATATCAACCGGTAGATTTATTCTAGAAAGTGATAGCAGTTTTCTTGGTAAAACATTTAAACAAAATACAGTTTCTGAAAGAGGCATAGCCCAAAATTTCTGTTTTCAAGCGCTTTTGGCAGAGGAGAGTGCTGCTGTCATCGGGGCTCCGTTGTCGCCTGTGCCCTAGCCCCTTGCTTCTCTGTCGCAGGACCGGCGTAGGTGGCCCAGACCATCGGTTGATGTCATTGCAGCGCTTCTGACATGGTGGTCCTAGCGTTCGAGTCCCGACGGTGGCAATTCAGTCTCTGTATGGAGAAGAATTCGAACAGTCGGCTGCACTGATTGATAGTTTACCGTGGTTTCTCCGATCAACACCAGGCGAATGCCGGGGCAGTACCCTATCAAACAGGCCACGGACCGCGTGCGATCGTTCCTTCTTTGTCCTATCCTCACCCATTACGTACACACATTTACACTTGTTTGCACAACACAACCACACATGCCAGGAGACCAGCTTAGAGGTTGTATCGGTTGGGGTGGTACCACGTTGGAGGGAGATACTTCGGTGAGGAAACCCCTGAATGCCAACGGGTTGGTCGGCATCGGATCTGGTCATTTAGCGGAGGAGGATAACCGCCACCTCCCGTGAAAATAACACTACACTTATGGGACTCATGACCTTTGCCGTTGACGCGCAGGGAGTCACTAATCAATCAATCTGCCGCAGGAGGCGATGCTGAGTGCGACTACCAGGGGCTCCAGTGCCTGGACCGCCACTTCCGTAAGTTTCCATGGGAAATCCTTATATCGCCAGTGTACCAGAAAAGGAACTGATCTTAAACATCGTTATTTTTTAGTTAAGTGGAGAAATATCTTTAGGCAATAGGTATATTTTTACTACTACAAATTTCATAAAGATATCTTACGAGACAGCAGGTATACTATACAGTTCAAAAGCTCCGCCCACATTACAAACCTTTCTTCAGAAAATGACGATTTCGAAATGTCGCTTTTCTGGTACATCGCCGATATTTCTAGTACATTGGAGAGCAATACTATTTGAATGTATTTTAAAAGTGAAAAAATAGAATAACTTATTCGTAAGTAGTAATACACGTACGTATATACTCTCTTTTGCATAGATTTCGAAGCATTCTCGTAACACATAATTAGCCTTTCCTTCTTTCATTTTAACAAGTATTGTGTCGCGTTGTAGAATGAAACCGCATATTAAAATAAATGAGTATTTGAATTTGAAATTGATTACTTTGTGTCAACTCGGTGATATACTTTGCTAACGAATATACGCAAATTTCAACGTGGAATTCGCCAACGTGTGCCAAATAACATTAGTAGTAGTTCAGCTGAGAAAAAAATTAAGTACCATTCACTCTATATGAGGTTCTCGTTTTGTAATGCTGCTAATTAATTAAATATGTTAATTCTTGTGCATTTAAATTGTTAACGTAGCCCATGGTCAGTATTTTAGCTACGGATTTAAATTCATTTATTCCATTTATGGAAAAAAGGTTGCATGTGAGAGTAAATGTAAACAGTTCCCACGGAAATGTAAAGAATTGAACGTTACGAACCAATAATCATTATTTGCATCCAAGCTCGATCTAAACAGTAGAAAAGCAAACAAGTGCTTGGAATGGTCTGTTTTTACGGAATAACTTTAATTCTAGGGAATTTCGAAACTGAATAAAAAAATTAATTACTGTAAGAAACAGTTTATGGATATTTATTTACTTATTTATTTGTTTATTTATTTACTTATTTATTTATTCATTTACTTGTTTATTTATTATTTAGCATTAAAACGGATTATATGTGACATTTAGGATAAAAAGAGGAACACATTAAATAATATTATAAAATAATACTTACATTTTTTCACCTCATATTATTGCAAAATGTGATTGTTTCAAAGTTTAAAAATGTTTTACGTAACCTCCAATTGCTGTATTTTAAACAGAATTTAGTGTTTTTGTCCATTGTCATTATGACTGCATTGCCCGACAAATTATAACGTTTAAAACAGGAATATGTCGTGTTCAGAAGTAATGAGTGTCAATTACTGAACACGTCGAATTAGCAAAATGTTGAACCTCAGACTCTAATTATATTATTTATATTTATGATTATTAATATAGTGTACATTATGCAGTTATTATTAAAACTTGATGATAATGAGTTTTAATGAATAATTGTTCGATATGTAAACATGTCACGTGCATATACGGTACATGTTATATCCAAGGCGACGAAGTGCTCAGTCTAGTAGTAATCTCGTCAAATTGGAGGGCACGGAAGGCAGAACCCGTTTGCCCGCGAGGCGCAGGGGCCGTGACATGCCAAGTGGCGCAGTCCGGTTGCAGCAAGCGGCGATCGCGCGGTGGGCGGTGCGCAGGGCCCGGCGGCGGGGGCGAGGGGAAGGAGCGAAAGAAGCTCAAGTGCCGCTGCCTGCCCGACTGCGCCGTCACCGACATCAACGTCGTGCAGGACAGCATCACCAGGTGAGGCACGCGCCACCGGCCCCGGACTGGCTAGCCCTAGGGTTCGACTCTGGGCGATGGCGAATTTGCGTCTCAAGCTACTAGCTCCAATTCAGCCGCTGGCTGGAGTGAAGTCCAGCGGCCGGCTCCTCTGACCAACAGTTTTCCGAGGTTTCTCCGATCAACACCAGACAAATGCCGGGGAATTAACAAACGAGCCACGAACTGCTCATGAACTTTTCTTGTTCATCCTTGTATTTGTCGCTCACCTTACACTCACCCACACCAACAACCACACACACACACACACACACACACACACACACACACACACACACACACGCACACACACACACACACACACTAATTACGCGGTATTCTACGGATGGCTGTTAGTCGCGCTGCTTATTTAGGCCCATGCAATATAGCCCAATTCTATATTTTTTTGCTTTTTAGAAAATTCTATGCATCTTTTGAAGGAAATTTATTTCTGTATTGTATCTGAGCAAGGAAATTGATTTCTGTCTTATATTGTGTATCTGAGCAAGTCATAGGAGACCATTTAATACAAAATGAGGTTCAGTGTATGTTGTGAATTTTAAGAATGATTTACAAACTGATGAATTTATTGATTGTTTCGGGGCCTGTCAGCAGCTATGGCCATTAGTCCCGGCAATATAGTGAATGTTTTATCTTGGGAGATGGAGGTGTTCCTCCCCACTGTATAGTGAGATCCGGCACGCTTTCGGGGGATTTCCTTTTACAGATATCACTCCCAGCGACACAACTCTCAAAAAAGGGGGTTGTTAGAACGTGTTGGCTTGATGAGTTTGACCGCCAATAAAGTTCGACAATCAAATATTCACGAATATTAATTGTACCTAAATGTAGCCTCATGAATATAGTGTCCATTGCTACATTCCAACTTGTCAAAACTAAACTGGATTCCTTTATTGTTATTCCTTTATTTTTTCAATATTATTTTTTCTTTGTAGTTCTTCTTAACGCGACAGTTTAAATAATTAAATGAGGATACCTTCTCAATGATTAAAAAAAGACAAGAACACTTTTTTAAAATTAAGAAAAATTACGAAAATATTAATTTCAAATAATTTTGAAACTCTCGGACTATTGTAGCTTGCAATATGAGGCTGAGCCAATCCAACATGTCAAAACTAAACCGAATTTGTGTAAAAAATAAAAACTTATGTGATTGCAACCAGCCTAGGTCTCCCATATTACTGAATGTATATTCAGAAGGGATTACGAAGTAAGCTAGGAACCAATTACCGAAAGGGCAGATTTGATGATATTAGAAGCGTTACCATCCCCGTTGGAAAATACGTATTGTTCTATACGATGATGACTCAAACCAGGGCTCGGTTCCTAATGCGAGCCCCTTGATTCACAGCTCTGTAGAGAGCTGTTGTCTATTGAAAAAGTACTAAAATAGTAGTTCTTTGCAAGATCGCAGCCCAGTCAAGCGGTAGTGTCTTCATCTTCACTTGTTGCTGGACAGTCGGCTATTGATGCGAGCAGTGAAAACCAAAGTTTTTTCAAGTGCTTAATTCTCAGTCGCCTGATTTCGCAACTTCATCGCTAAGTCATCTTCACATTATTGTGAAGGGACGTTACAAGCTGTTGATGTAGGTTACTGAAATTTATTTTACTTGCCTTGTAAAATATTATTAACTTTTGGAATATGAACACACCTAACCCGAGCCCCCAAAGATTCCTAACGCGGGCTCCCAATTTTTATTCGTTGAAAATAAAAACAAGGTATTTATATCATTTATTATCATAGCATTTCTTTTAACTGAGGAGTCTGGTAAAAAATCAGGAACCTACTCTGAAGCCTATCAGTTCGAGATGGCAGAAAGAAGGGCGTGAGAACAATCATGCGAATGGAATCCAGATGATTATTATATAAATTATATTTCTCATATAATATATATAACGTATACTATATAATCATATATTAATATGATATATTATTAATATTATATATATATATTTAATATAATATATTATATAGCTATAATATATAATATCACTTTTATAATAGTATTATATATATATAATATTCAATTAGCCAACCCGAGCGACATTCGGATCAGAAGAATATCCAAAAATGCCCCAAAACTCCTGTCGGTATTTAAACCAACTTTTCCGATGGAGGTCGTCAACCCTAAGGTGGAGGGCAGCTCGCGTGAGGCGTTACTCGACTGCCCGATGTTTACGACGGCATTCACTTCTATTTCCCTCGTCGACGTGGGTTTAGATCTGATTTCATTCCGAATGATCCGCGTTCGGTCATACGGATTTGCGGGAACATGGGCAAGTTGACGATAAAATGATGAGATCCAAGTTTGTGTTTCTGGAGACGTGAAAACCATGTATTCGCCACACACACACAAAATATACACATTAATGTAACGTAACATTGAGGAGTATGAAATAGGTAAGAACACAGATCACGTGTCCACAAGTGACGCAGGAGGCTTACACCACAGCCAAATAAATAATGATTATCTTTAAACTTGATTTAAATTTACTTCACAATAACAGTTTGCTTCTATGCTACCTACCGGTGCAACTTCTAAAGAATTTTAAACTTAATAACTTTGGTGTAAGATTACCTTCTTAATTGTACAGGAAATTAAATACATTTGTACACTCATTAATTTCTATTTATCGTGAGACGCAATCTTAAAATTTACAAACGAGGGCATAGCCCTTTCCAAATGGCTTGTGCCTCTATGTAATTGAATCGATCAGTAATGACTTTGTTCAAGTTTCTGATTTGTGACCTACCTTTGTCGTTAAATTTATTTACACGATTGCTTATTGCTTGTGCATTCGGCTGCACGGGTACTCGCATTAATAATAACGTACTCGCACACACAAAAAAAAGTCAGACCCAAAGACTTGCCACATGTCTCTTTCTATGTATGTCGACTCGCTGAATCCGAATCTGAAGCCAGAATTGCGCCACCATCCTCCAGTTATTTTTAAATTTGGAAAGACCATTGTGAAATTGTAAATTGTAAATTTCACAGTGTTTTTTGTGATTAAAAATAAACTGGAACATAATGGCGCAATTCTGACTTTGGATTCAGCGCGTCAACATGCATTATGAATCATATTTTACGTCTTTTGGTCTGACTTTTTACTTGTGTATGTGTGCCTGTGAAATATATCTCAAATATGTAATCCTAAAGTAATAATAATAATAATAATAATAATAATGAACAGATATTAATTATGCAGTTGCTGCCGTTTCCTGATTGCGTGTGTGTATTGCAGCGTGGGAGGCGACCTGTCGGAGACCATCGTGCGGGTGGCCGCGCCCCCCAACCAGCGCCTCACGCTCACGGCGCGCGTCACCACGCTCGACATCATCGGTGAGCCCCGGCGCGCCCTCTCCGGAGGCGCTCGCGGCCGGCCCTTGGTCGCGAACAGCGCCCCCTCCCGGCACCTCCCAGCCTCTCCCGCCAAACCTGTTTCCCCTCCGCGCTTCACGCCTCTCCCAGGAAGCTAACAGGCCGGGACACGCAGCCAACCTCCGCGTGTTCCTTCCTGCCAAACAATAGGGAGTTTTAGCGCCAGGCGTAAGAAGACAGCCGTAAACTCTACTGATCACGTGACTAACGACGTTATACGCTATAACGACGTTGCCACGTTATTACGGCGTTATGCGGTCGTAAGGAATAGCGGTCAGATGAGCTTTTGCAATTGCGATATCACGTTATGCAGCTATGCGTTAACAAAAGCATTTCAAGCGTTGAGCAAAGCAATTGCATACAATATCAAAGACGGTGGACAATTGATGAGACATTTGAACCGTAGTATGAGTTTTAGATTTTCTGGCCTTGGCGATGAGTCTGTGATTTTGATTGGGCTTTTCTTGAGAATGTAGGGGATAGCAGAATTCGTTATGAGCATAAATGATAACCTAACACGACGATATGGATTCAACTTCTTTTTCGCATATTTCGTAATTGTCACGCTTCTAATATTTTCGTTAGTTCTTGCCAGAGTTGTAGATGTCGGCAAGAATTAATTACAACTGCCTCACACACAAGAATCAATTTATCAACTTTGGAAAATAGGGAGTTTAAGCGCCACGCATGAAGGAACAATGCCACGCACTAACAATCACATGACGACCGTGTAATGTCCTTAGGTCTAAGGTACAATCTTATCCCTTCAAAAAGATTTCGTTCTGTACGAATCTGTAGGTAAACAGCAAAATGGCCACCGACAAACGGGTATCCTTCATAAACGGGTTGCATCTTTCTAACGCTGATAAACTGAATCTCGCGAGTGAGACAGTAGGCCTATTTTTGTTTAAGTATATTTCTGTAGAATGTGTCAGTGTTCCCAACGATATAAAGCAGGGAGAATGATTCGAATATAAATCTCGTAATACACTCTGGTAGATACAACGATGCGAATATACATTAGGTATGCCTTTGCCAGTGTAGGTTGGTGCCGGATCTCATTTTCTAGGGAGGGGAGCAACACCGCCGCCGCCACAACCACCACTAACACGACCAGAGGAAAATATGCAGTATACTTCAGGGATCACTAACGGTAGCGCCCGGAAACAAAATAGTTTTTGGGTTTCTCAATCGAGTCAAACCTGAAGTGGAACGTCCATTCAAATGAAATGATCACAAAATTAAGTTTGTATAGCTTCGCGCTTCGTAAGTTTATAATGCTTCATACTGCTATTGTATATATTTCGCGAATGTTCTTTCTCGTCTGAAATACGACATAATATTCTGGGGAAACACATCTTCGTCCCTAGGCTATTAGATTACAAAAAATAATTGTAATAATAATAATAATAATAATAATAATAATAATAATAATAATAATAATAATAATAATAATAATGCACGTGATTCTTGTAGGCTTCCCTATATTAAGCTGGAAATTCTACCATTGTCTTGCCTTTTAATTTATTAGTCAGTGATTTTTCTCAAAAATGATTTACTCAAAAGTGGGAACATATTTTCAAAGAATACAGACGACTATAACAATAACACTCGATGTACTAATCATATTCATCAGATGTTAGTATCAACAACTCACTGAAAAGAATTCACAAACATGACATATACATTATTCTACAACACTTTGCCAGATGACATTAAACAATTAAAATCTATCACAGGTTTAAGTGTCAAATAAAATACTTTCTGTTTCTACACAATCAGAGACAATATCGAGCATCAAAAAGGAAAATAATATTGATTATAATAATGCTATTTAATGAATGAGTTACTATTTGGACTGTATAATTTTAAAAGAGTAAATATGCCTGTAACAAATATTGCATCTCAGCTTCTGGGTAAATGATCCCATATTGATCAAGATTTTCGACCATTTTCCCCGATCGTTTGAGTGAATACTGAGACTGCCCTTTCTTTCACATCTGGACATAAACGTTACTTTACTGTCCGTGAGAATTTTCTGCAGTTCACTGGATAACATACATTTATTCAAATTAACGATCCCCGTGTTCTCGCATCAGTAAGTTGATTCTTCAGGAAGAGCAGAATAAGAAATACTAGCTAAAATCTGTAGCGTTTTCCCTTTGCAAATAGTTATTATTACAAATGAGCTAATTCTTTCTTGCCAATTTTTGCCAAAAACGCTTGTTTCCAGCAGTATTCATAATTCATGTTTTATATGTATCAGAGCAGAGATCTCAGATTTTAAAAAAACGTGCAAAGGATACACTTCTCCCCATAGTATGTCACACTTTTTTCCACTGTTTTTGACGTTAAATTAACAAATAAATTGTTCGTGACGTTTATATTCATTGGTGTAGAATTTTCTTCAGATTTACAACGAATAACTATATTAACTGAACTAAACAAAATAACTAAATGTTTCAAAATTACAAGTTCATATTTTTTTGGTTTGAATCAAATTTTGAATTTACACGTGATTATATTCATAAGATGTCTGTGGCCAGTTGTTGGACCTGGTCTCCACATATATTCAATATTATCTATTTATTATATTATTCATATAATGCTTCATTCATGAGATTACAGAGAAGATGGAAGAAATACTGTACAGTCTCCGGTGTTTCAATTTACCCTGTGGGAGTACGTTGCACAGGCAATAAATTAAATAGGCTTGAGAATTACGTATGTATGTTTCTTGATGAAAACTTCATTCCATTTCAATTAATACGATAGCAAGATACTTATCGTTCCGGTACCAGACTCGTTAATTGCTGGAATTGCCTGAGGTGAAGTCAGTGTTCAACGACCGCAAACGTGTTTAATTTTATTATTTATTTCAAACGATGCTTTTGAGGGGAACAAGTCTTTAGTTGACTGTTTCAAAACATATGAACTATCATAGTAGGCCTATATTTACAGTAATATTGTTATTTGCTGTACAAACATGCCTTAAATTCTAGTTGTAAACAAATAAAGTTATATAAAATTATGCATTTGTTGAATATTTTAAGGTATAACCTAACTGGCTGTCACATGAGAACTACGTCCGTTATCAGTATGAGCCGAGAGCCAGAAGCCTCGCCACGCCTATATTATTGAACGAAGATTCCTTATTACAGTGAAGTAAAATTTAAAGAACGAAATATGAATACTACTAAAAAAATATTACATATTATTTCACCGTGGGAAAATAAAATGTTGCTTCTTCCCACCATGAGTAAGAAATATTATTTTCAAGAATGTTACACAATATTATCATATAACTTCCATCAAATTCACATGAACGTGTTATTTATGCTTGAAAAAATTTAAATATTTAGTTTGTCTTCTTCGTCCCCTCTCTCAAAAGTAGCCCCCCATCAGACACTTTCAATTCGGAGCGACGGCCCCAGACGAGCTCTGTCTCTTTTTTGCCGGAGATCATCTAAGCGCCGTGGTGTCACACGGCCACGCTAGCGATCCACGCTCGGCAGTGAAAGTCATGCTGCATTTTCATGAGCCCTGAAGCTGCTGCAGCCCGCCCGCACTGTTTACAGTTAGCTGGAATGTGAGAGCGACGTTTAGCGATGAGGACACCGCTTCGCCCGTTCCACCCGCTCACTCCGCCTCTGACCGAT